ATGGTGCAGTGCAGATAACTTTGAACGTCAGTGATAGCAAGGAGGACAGATAGGGGTTAGGGGTTAGGGGAAGGCTGAAGTGTTCTGACAACCGAGAAATTTCGCGTTCCGCAGCGGAAATGAGCTCACCGGAGGTGATGCACAACACGAACTGGGTGGTTTTTTCCTTGCCCGATGCGGGTAACTAAGTTGCCCATGTTGGCTGCTTTTCCTACCATTGTTGTCAATTTCACTCCAATAGAAGGCATATATTGTTCATAGCATATCATACTACTTTACGCCTGAGGTCGCATTAGGCGGAAAATTGGAATAGACGAGTCTTCTGGCCGCATTAGCTAACTGGATAGTGTAGTCGTACAATCAACGCTTCAGATATCAGACACCCTTGTTTTGATCCTGGGTGGTTGGTATTTATCACTTTTTCTCCATCATGGTTACTGATTCCTGAAAGATTCACCGTCTTGGAGGGCCTTCAGCCTCAGATACACTATCGAAGTTCTCTGTCGAATGCAATGCGCGTCAAAACTAATAGTGTTTCTCATCTACACTGTATGTTGCTGAACTCTCAGTACATGCGTTAGCTGTACCTCATGGTGACGACAAACGACTGGATCAGATTATTGACCATGGATTAACCGACTGAGCGAGTTTATCGGCTACCAGTGAACCAAAGCGCAAAGCGCATAGAAGTAACCGCTTGGTTAGGCGCAACGTAGGTGGTCCAACAGAAAATGCATATTTTACTGAGATATACTGGTGGTAACTTACAACGATGTGGACAATTTGGGCAAGCCTGTTCGATGAATTGGACTGTCATGTCGAGAGCTGTGTCTGAAGTTGGTTCTAGACAGGAAGATATGATGGTAGGCATAGAACTAAGAAAGTCGATCGCCATCATCCATTCACCTGCAGAGTATTACACCAAGACTTAGCCAGGATTTTGATGCGCTCAGTTTACCAACCTGAGCGTTGAAATCTCCTCCCAGTACAGATATATCGGAGCTGCGGCCCTGCCGGAGAAGTTCAATGGGTTTGTCATATGTCTCGTTCTTTTATTCTTCGTGATTGCAGTTGACCGGTGCACATGTTGAAAGGATAAAATCTTTGTCGACAGGAATTCGATCTAAAAGTGACGCTTCGGTTCTATCCTGGAAAACTTCGCACTTCGCACTTGACAATTGAAAAAGTTTCGTATTCATCTGATTTGTGTAGGAAGCACCTCGAGGACAGAGGCAAAGCATGTGGGTGGTTCCTACTACTAGAATCCAGAACTCGTGTCTCTAGCATGAATCAAATATCAAATCCGAAAGAGTCTATTGTAGGTGCCATAGAGGCCTACCAACGCACCTGTAAGAGAATCCTCAAGTTGAAGACTCCAGAATCAGAGAGTGACGGGCTTTCAGAATTTGCTATCAATATATTATTGAACTATTTTTAACGCTTATTCTACAATGTCCTCTGGGCAAAGACAAGCAAAACATCTGAGGAAGTGTTACTGGTCGAGGAAAATGGATTCAATGCTGACGGTTCAGTTCAGCTTTTACAACCATTAACCATGCACTTTCGTGCGCCGGTTTTGGTTGCTGTCTTTTGGTCACCCATTTGGATAAAAGAGCAGAATGAAGATTGGAATTTTAAAAGCAGATTCAAGCGGAAAATGGGGAATTGATATGGAGTGGTGTTAGAGGAATAATGAGTGAATGCATGAGCGCCACTGTATGCGACACCCAGCCATATCACTCAGTGCCTCTAAGCATCGCTGACCATCATCTTGGGGTTCCCAGCCAGGGAGCCTAACGGGGCCTATGTGACCTAGTCTCCCGGTTGGGGTTTTCACTCCCTTATGCCAGGCCTTCGTTTGACCATCTTTGACCTTTCTCCAACCGATACCTGCCTCGGTAAACATTGCTCGCAGTGGCAACCTATCTGGTGACACGCGTAAAACATGCCCCAAACAAGGTAATCTATGGAGGTCAACCGCTTGCTCCAGTGGATGACCACGACTGCCTGAAACTCTACGCCTGACCTCAGCATCGCTCGTCCGGTTATCCCACCAGACTCGTGCAATGCGACGTAGACAGTGGTATTCAAATACCGACAGTCTATTTTTATCCTGTTCCCGTAGTAGCGAAGTCTCTGCACCGTAGAGCAGAACTGGCCGAAGTGCTGCAGAATATACTCGACCCTTCAGAGATAGCCTGATGTCGCGACGGCGTCACAAATGTCTCAAGTTGGTAAATTCCCACCGAGCCTTCTGTATGCGCGCCGATAATTCATCTGTGATGCGTCCTTCAGGTGAGATACAACTGCCAAGATAGCAAAACTTGTCCATTTCCTCTACTACTTCCACAGTCAGGGTGAGACTGGGTGTTGGACCAACTCAATCTTGGAGCAACATTTTTGCACTATGAAGGTGCAAAACGAATATCGAACTTAACTGGTGATCACGCTATCCAGAAAAGCTTGCAACTTGCCTGAATCTTCACTTAGTAGAGCAATTTCCTCTGCATACACTAGATCAGACAGGCTGCTACCTGGGAGTAAATCGATGTCGCTATCCTCGTAAGAAGATAGGGCTGTTTCAATAATTAAATCTATGACAAAGTTAAACAGAAACGGAGAAAGAGGGCAACCCTGACGAACTCTATTTTCCGTGGTGAACTCGGGTGAAGAAGTGCCGTAAATTCGAACTCGGCTTCGGCTATTAGTATAGAGTGATTGTAATATTTAAATAAACTTGTCGAGCACACCCTTCAGAGCGAGGCAGCACCAAACGGTTGGATGTATAAGACTAAGGCTGGGATTTCTGAGCAATAACCCATTTATCATTATCCATCCCGATCGTTTCAACAGTAAGCGGAGTCTCGATTGATGCAGTATGGAATTCCATATACTTTCTGTTCATTGGAGTTCGATGGACGAGTACTGATAAGAGGCTAAAATCGAAAGGCAAAGAACGATTAAGGCTTTTAACCAAAGTCTTTAGCTATGATAAGCGCTTACCCGTAAGCCAGTGGGTAAAGTGGAAAGGAAGTCCGTCTATTTAGATCGATTGTTTCTCTATCTTGATAAAAATGCGGAGGCCAATTTGAATCAACCTCTGTTCAAAGCGGACCTGGAAATTGGAACTCGTTGGACTTCTACTCTCTGACCATTCAAGCAAGGTAATATTATTTGGCTTGATAAAAACTATCCTGTATAACTCGTTGCGGTTTAGCTTTATTTATCCGCGTTCCACTCCCTTCCCTGGACTATCTTACCAGTAAACTGTACGGTCTTCACTTTAATTGTTGTGTGAGCAATACGCACAAGACCACCGGTGACAATTCACATTATTTTCATTCTGACGCACCTCCCGGTCATCCCCATCTCTCATCTGGCTACAGTTATGAGCTCGTTGTTGCTAGGCTTAAAAAAATTACCTGTGCTGTATTCGACCTGTGACCTCATTGATAAGGACGACGTTTTTAATGAGCCAGAGATGAAAATTTGGAGTGTGTAATACATTCATATCTGCTTAGAACATTTTTTAATACATTAGAATGCAATATAATAGATTTGTTAGTACACACCTTAGTGTAATTAACAGCAGACGCGGTCAACCCCATAGTTATGAGGACCTGAAGTTCAATCATGGAAACCGGTAACGTAAGCCCCAGGACTTGGAGTGGCGAACCACATAAGGCTCCGCTAGGTTAGGCGTGGTATTGAACCGGACAAAAGTAAGACTGCCTTCCACCAAAGTAGGGTGGCGAAGGCGGGGCTCAAACTTCGGATCACGGGGTCCAAAACACACCGGTGACAGTGAATAGATCACATCGCCACCACGACCCTGGTAGGATAGCTGTTCATTTGGTTCGATTCGAGGCTCCACTCAGCTTTCTAACTAACAACAAGAGACATTATGTGGTTGTTTCAACCTGGATATCCGTTGATTTCCAAACCGGTTACAGATCAGCAACGGTTAGGTGTTATGATTCGCTTATATTATGGTGCAGTCAGTGGAAGAAGAATATGGCCAATCGAAAGCTGTCTTGTACATACAGAATGCAAGAACACGAAGTGGAGGACTACGAACCTACGGTCTCCGAGCCATCATCCAAGAGGAATGTGCGGTATGGAGCTCCAACCACAATGTTAAAAATCTATCGTCTACGGACTAAGTTAGTCACGCATAATAATTATAATTATGACACATTGAGACCCCAGAAAATCGCATCTTCAGATTTCAGTAGTCTAGATGTATGAAATTTAAAAAGCGGAAAGTTTGTTACAAATGTGTTACATAAGAGCGAATAAATTCCATGAATTTAACCTGATCGTGCGGTTAATACCTATAAAAGACAGTGCCTGATTGGCGCTCACTAAGTGAAAGAACTGTTTCCGTACATCACGGAACCATTAAAAACAAGTCAATCGAGTTGAACGAGGTTTTCCATAAGCACACTACGGTCAAGCATGCCGGTTCGTCTTCCTTCATTCGTGATGGTGGTGGCTTAGTGGTTTGATTGCTGTCACCGGCGGGCTTTGGACCTTATAGTCCGAGGTTCAAGCCCCGCCACCGCCACCCGACTTTGGTGGTAGGCAGCTCTGCTGCTATCCGGTTCAATACCACACCTAACCTATCGGGGCATTACGTGGTTCGCCACTCCAAGTCCCGGGGCTTAGGTTGCTGGTTTCCTCCACTGAACAGTAGGTCCTCGTGACTATGGGGTTCAACCCATCTGCTGTTCCTCACGCATTGGTGTGTTATAAAAAAAACAGAGTACGCAGAGCAAATTCAACAAGTTCACACGATTCTCAGTGAAACCATTACAAATTACTAAGCTAGGTAAGCTTTCCATTTTCAAAACTCTGGTCCATATTTGGTTATGACAAAGTAATATGAAACCAGCTGTTGTAAAGGAAAACAAGCATTATATATATGTATATATAACCTGTAAGCTCAACAAACTCTGTACAAAAGTGCTCATAAGTGAGCGAAAAAGGCATCCAGCAACATCTTGTGATCAGATAGGAATGACCGAGAGAAAAAACCATTCGCCATGTGTAGGCCAACTTACCTCAAAAGAATGAATTGTCCCCGGAAGGGGAGCGTAATCGCCTCGGTCAATTTTTTGGCACAGGTCGAACAAATTCATTTGTTCCCCGTAGAATGGGGATTGAAGTGCTGCCATCTCATAAAGAAGACAACCCAAGGACCAGATGTCCGAGGCGAAATCGTAGCCCTTTTCATGAATCCGTTCTGGCGACATGTAATACGGTGTGCCGACTGTCAAAAAGAATTACGAAAAACAATGCGATGCAAACAGAGTTGATAATGAGAACAAATTGGCAAGCAAGCTCGTTTTCAGTGCCTTAATCATCTCATTGCAACACAATATATACGACTAGTAACAGATAAAGATTTATAAGAGGAAAAGGGAAAGTAATTAAAGTATTCAATAGTTTGTTTCATAATTGGTTCCCAAACAGAGATGATGAGGGGGTCAAAAATCGTTAAAAACACAACTTGAAGGATTACAGAGACATTTTTCAGCTGTAAACTCAATCCCACAAAGAAGTTGTGCGATCGTAAATGACCGAGAAGGCAATTGAATGGTTAAAGCAGTGGTGGAAAGTTTAACTGGATCAGAGGAAATGAAATGTGCGACATTAGAGAGAAAAAAAGTAAACGCAAAACTACTCTGTTTGGCGATTTGGGCTCAATCAACATCACCAACAGTCTGGATCCATTGACTGGAGTGCCCACCACGAGGTAGCACCGGATCAAGCTGTTTTGTGCTGTTCAAATTATATACCACGGTCGATACCTGTAACTGAAGCAGCTCATCAGAGCACTAGCCTCCGACGTGGTTTCTATTCGGTCGGAAACATTCCAAACATGAAGCCAGTTGAATCGAATCTGATTTTAATTGGGCCCTATCATCTGGTGTTGTGAGAAAAGACCGTATTTCTAATTGCTATAAAGATGAAACGGATACTGTTTCAGATAAGAGTGATGAGGAAGTCACAAACGAGTCGTGCCACGGGGCAACAAAAGCTTTGAAATGGATCAACAATGTGAGTCACGGGATCGCGAAGCAGTTCCGTAGTGTATGGAATTTCACGGTGAAACGAGGAGCATAATCAGAGGCGATCAACGCAGTCTTTCCGAACATCCCCCATAACCTGATTAGAATCCTCGTGGAGACCACATGTGTTATACTTCCGCGATTCAAATGTGTGACCAGATCACGCCGCAGTCATCCATTTAAAATATGCACAATGCTCTTCAACTTTTTTGACCCAACTTGTTATACATAACCCGACTAGTCCTATGAACTTGAATTCACAACAGTTTGATGATCATCGTTGACGCGCGCGTGTGCGGGTATGAGTAAAAAGGAACAAAACATAAGTCGTGACCCATAAAAGGGTTTTACACTTGGTGTCAAGACCAAGCAACACACCCCTGTCCAAGGCACAAGTACACAGAAATGCACCATGTGGCAGAAACAAGCTCCAGTCTGGTCACATTAATCAGAGTTGAAATACTTTGTTGAGGTGAACAGAAAAAAGGAAAGTAAACGATCGAGTAAATCAACCCTTTTTTCTTGAAAAAATCTAATATCCCCGTGTGTTGTGCTGCAATAAATTCATCAACTTGCACTGATGATGTTGTCTAGCCTGGCTACGAAACTTCTGCGAACAACACTCCCAGCTCGGAGAACACACCACCATCAACATCCACATCCCGAGCCACAATCGTTCCACATTATTTCCAGCGCGAATATATGCAACCGAATCTTGCACCCCATGCAGTATGGCGATTTCGGTTGGGCCGTTGCTCAAGAGGCACCCCATAATAGTATTAGGAAGTTTCGGTCGTTTATCCGCTTGCTGAGGTGCCGCTCTTCGTTCCGCAGGTCGTACCATCAGTGATCCCTTCTGCATCGAATCTATCTAGATTATATTTCTCTTTGTCGCTAGAGTAGACAAAATTTCATTCGTTTCTCCAAGTTACATTAGTTTCAGTTCACAAAAAAACATTTTCTGCTTATAAAGTTGTCCCATTTATGGGCATTTTCATTTTCTTGTATTTCATCCAATAAACCGTATTGAGTATTCGCCGTATCGTTCTTGCCGAACTGTCCAAGTACCGTGTTAATCTCCGATGCATGACTCACGTAGTTTGAAGTCACAAGAGCTTTTTATGGCGTCCAATCCGTTTATGATTAACTTTTTAGGTCCGACCAGTTCTGACTCTAGGCGTTTGTTTCGACTTTGGGATTTTTCTGGACGAACACTAACGTTATCATCTTGAAGTGAACAGTTATTGACCACTAACCGGATGGGCAAAATTTGACTACTGAAGATACGATAATGTTCTTCAACACAGCCGTTTCGTTGGGGTTTCTTTGCATTCGTTGATACTATACTCCACAGGTACAAAGATCAGCTGACCCCTTCGGGTATATGCACCGATTAGGGACGTTCACTCTATTTTTGCCAAACATTCTACTCACCATCAAGGTTCCCTGAAGAGTAAATCGTGATGAGTACGGCAATACAGAAGTTCGAGTGGTGAACATGTACAGATCACATGTAAATTGAAGTCCAATAAATACTTATTTGCACACAGTTCGTTATAAACCACACGGCAGGACGATGTACGATCCGTGTGGTTGTCATATCTTCATTGGTTTCCGACAGTCATGAGCCCCATTTTCTATGTACTATTGTTGCGGGAGCGGTTTGATTATCCCACTGTCTTTATAACCAGCTACATCCCACCTGATGAGCTCTAGCTGTCACCTAATTCATTTCGGCTTCTCTTGAAAATTGCCACCAACACTATTTGCAACCTCTGTAAGGTGCTTTGAAGGGGTTCCATTCCTACCCCCAACCCGTTCCTTTTTTTACCACAGTGTGTTCACATATCAAGTGTTTTGAACCGGCTTGATGTGAAAAACCTAAAGATTTTTGATGCAATATCGTGAAATTTTGCGGGTAGTAAATTTTATGGGCCTTATATGTATGGAATTCAAACGTGTACTGTTGACCCACCACATCCTATCTACTTGCAAGCAATGAAACCGATACAATCAGATCAACAGACAAATCCCTGGTGGCTCATGAATTCAAAACATGGGAAATTTATTGCGAATCAGTGGGCCGAAAACCCTCCACATTGTTCATTGTGTCCGTGTTCGTTCGAACTCTAATTAGACTAAAAGCTGCGAAAAGTTATATTGATAAAACCACAGGGTAGTACGAACGTGAACAACAAACTCAGGGCAACAACAGTGATTTCTAGCTTAAATATAAATCTCAATAAAATGCATTAAATGGAGCGTAGAGCTATGAATTATGATCCGAAAAAATTCAACTAATCATACCGATTACGAATCATGAAAACGTATCAGAAGAAATGGAAACACGTGCCGCAAGAAAACAGAGCTATCGAAACCGCTTGGATCTCTCTACAGGTATGTGAAATACGAAGAGAATGGATGATTCTGTCGGCTCGTTGGACTATGTTCGAAAACCATGTAGAGAACACTGAATGGGCGACTTCCAACACCGGATCTGCACAATATAATAATATGAGTAAAGTGGCAAGTAGTTCAAGAGCAATAGCAAATAATACTGGGGCAATAACTGAAGTTGTCCGCGCGTCAAAACGATGCGATGTTTGTAAAATGAAGTGTGAAATTTCAGCTTATCAACAGAGAGGAATAGAATTTGAACTTTGACAAGCATATAGACAGTTCATGTATTGATGGAATTAGCAAACCCTACCCATCAGGACTAAAATGAGTTTAAACTGTAGGAGTTATTGACATTTGATTAAAAGGTAGTTTCATTGAACTTGTTACATGTCACCCTACATTCTCTTACCCGAAGTAAACGCAATACAAAAACCTGATTAATGATTTACAATTTTTCTGAGTTTACGGTCACTTTGAATTAAATGAAACTGTTAAGATGATTTCATAGCTAGGCGTTTCTTGGATAACTCCTGTGCCGTCAAAGAAACCCCTTGAACGATCTGATTGGTTTATTTGGAGTGTCACCTTGAGGGAAGTGA